ACCACTAATGTAGGCATTGGGGTTTTGCCAGATGTGGTTCCTACTGCTACACCACTATGTTGACCCAATACTAGAAAAGTTATTTTGCTAGTAAAAGGCAAGCAAATTGAAAGTTGATTTATAAAATTGCTTATAAATGATCACGAGATAATAATAAAGAAATTTTGATTGAATAATTATTTAAATAACCAACCGTGAAACTATATTCTGGTAGGTTTAGTAGAAATAAGTCCGTGCAACCTTGTATTTAGGGCCTTGGTCTGGCCGAGCGAAGGCGATATCAAGACCTTCCAGATGCTCCCATTTGGCGCGTGTGGCTGAACTGATTGGTGGAGAGGGGACATTCAGCTTCGGCACCGTCCATACCTCGCTGGCGGTTACAGAACCGGGCTCAGCATCATGCGACAGTGGCGTCAACTTTATTGATGTCTTCAGTGCCATGCGGCGCCGTCCACTCGTTTCGACGTTGATGAGACTCAAAGACCGCCTCTCGCCTTTCAGTTTCAATTTATCGGCCAGGTCTTCGGTACACAAGGAAACCTGAGCGCCTGAGTCAAGAAGGGCGAATGTATCGATGAAGTTATCAATACCGTGAACTCGAACTGGCACGATTTGTAGCATTGTCGTGTCTTCTTCCTGAGGTGTCGCTACTGCAACCGTCCGGGGATTCGCCGTCACTTCAGTGCGGTCGGAACGAGGGAAGACCCTACCGCTTCCGTGCAGCAGACGGTGATGTGTTCCTTGGCAGCCGCTCTCCGCATCGTTCCCCAGATGAGCACTGACGTGAGCGATGTGCATATTCTAAGCATACGAAGCACCTGCGGCTCTCTCCGACGGACTTAGCCCGCTCCTGAGGCGTTTGCCGAATAAAGACGGGACACTTGACGAGCTGGTGGTGTTCACCGCAGATGCAGCATGGTTCCGACTCTACCTTCGGAGCAGTCGTCAGGGTCGATGCGCTCGAAGCGAGTCGGTGTGTCAGGCTCCGTGAGTTTTCACGGCGAGGCGGTTTTCTCATCTCAGCGGATCTCACTGGGACCGTTGACAGGATTCGAGCCTGCCGGCCCAGCCACTGGTCGAAGTCTCGAAGGGTTGCCCGCTTTGGCTCAGCTGCAACAGCTTCGCGGCTCCATTCGCGTCTCAGTTCGTCCGGAAGTTTGAGAACGACGCGACGGAGGTTTTCTGTGCTGCTGAGGTCTCCATCGTAGCCCATGTTTTCAAGCACTGAGACAGCGCAGTGCACCACCGAGTAGAAGTTTTCTAGTGTGGTTAGGCTGATTTCCTGCATAGGAGGGAAGGTAAAAACGGCAGAGAGCCTTCCGTTCACGATATCTCCCTCTCTTCCAAACCTCTCCAGTAATGTTTGAAGCGCGATTGGATACAGTTTTCCATCATAGAGCATCCCTTCGACGGCGCGCTTAGCGAGGCCAGTCACCGAGGACTGAAGGTGAGCAAGTTTCTCCGAATTCGATAAGCCTCTCTGGTCGTGTATCAACGTCTTGAAAAGCCCAATCCACTGTGGCCATTCGATTGCGGCCCCACTGAATTTCGGGAGCTGGATCTGAGGAACGCTCCGATAATTTACGTTCCTTGCGTCAGCTGATTCAACGTGAGAGGAGCTGGAAATGTCGTAGATCCAGGACAGGTGTGAAGTTTCTTGATAAGTCTTCGTCGCTCCTACAGGCGTGGTTGGTTTGTCTGGAGCGTCTTCCTTTGCCGTTTTGCGTCCTTCTCCCTCAGCGATGGCGCCTGTTGTCGTCTCTTGGCAGACTAATTCAGCATTGTGAACGGCTAGAACGGGGGACATAGGAGAAGTGTTTGGAGGCGCATCACTAGGACTTGGATGATGGCAATCGTCAGAGCCATCAGCTTGCGCCTGGCTTGCGGTACCAGCGTTAGCCGCCGCCTGTTCCGACTGGCGACAGACCTCTTCTCCCGACGAATTTCCATTAGGAAAATCATCGATTCGGTCCCAGCAGAGTTCACTCTCCGCCGCCTTTCGTAGTTCCGCCTCCTTTGCTGCGAGCTCTGCTTCGTCACGGGCTTCAGCAAGGCGAGCTGAGCGAGCAATTTCACGCTGACGACGCTGATTTTCTTCTTCCTGCTGCTCCGCCTTTCGTTCCGCCTCGAGGCGGCGCGTCAACTGCTCCACACGCATTTGTTTGAGTCGTGCTTCGATCTGAGCTTCCTTTAAAGCGGTGGACGCTTGAGAGCTCGATGAGACGCGTGAGTGACTAACTGACACGGACTTGGAGGAAGTGACATCTGATCGAATGACATTGGCTCGCAACTCCAAGTGCGACTTTATCTTAGAGACAAGAAGCCTGTGCGTTTCTTCTATCTCTTCAATGTGTTTTTCGGCAAGTTCTCGTTCTTCAGCGTTTTGTAGCTGATCTTCGTACTCGTCACTTATGGACAGTATTTCTTCCAGGACATCGTCTAAATCCTTCAAGGATTCGGCCAGCAAGGTCGTGCTTCCTTGCGCCGACATAAGTGCCTCCGCTCTGGCACATATTCGGGAGACCTTGGCCTCCTTTCTCGATCTGATTCTTTTCAGTCGATCACTCATTTTCGGATGTACTGGTAGACCGTATCGACAGACGAATGCCTATCCGGCCCGGAGGACCAAAATGTTATGGTTTTACGCATAACACACGAAGTGATACCACGTTAGCGAAATCAAGGATATGACAACGTTATTGTGTTAGATATCTACATATATTGCGAAATAAAATGAACGAATGGGTACTTTACGATTAATCACTTTTTCAAGGACATCGAATCTAGTTTTGTTTATTTCTCAAAGGCAATAAAGTCCCCAGTCACGTATTATATTATTACAAAAAAAAACATCCCCAACGAACCCCAAAAAGACGACCACGATCGAATCGAATGAATCCCAAGTCTCGAATCGCACAATTATCGTCGGACATTCCGTGACACTAAATTGACATCAGCGCGTGCGACATTCACGCCGGAGCCGTTAGTTAACCCGCGACCGCCTGGGGGGGGGGGGGGGGTTCGGATCCGACCCCCCTCCGTTTTTTCTTGAATAACTCATGAACCAATTTCGCTATCTACTTGAAACTTGGCATACCTTCTTCCCCATCAATTTGACGTCTCCTGTGCAATTTTTAAGAAAAAAATTCCAAATATTTTTGAGATATATCGATTTTAGTGATGTAACTACATGGCGTTTTTAGTCAAAAAGTGGTAAATGTTTAAAAAATCGCCAAAAATCAGGGTTTGAAGCAAATTGCAAATTAAGGACATCAGAAGACGCAGCTCAACGAGTTCTTTAAAATGGCTATCTCGGATTTTCCATAAAATGCGTTTTTCACCCCTAAAAATTCAAAAAAACTATATTTTTTGGAAAACAGCTAATAAAATCCAAAATTTTGGGAATTTCCAAAAAAAACGGAATATATGTTGTAAAGCTCTATTAGAACATTAGATGCCCCAAATTTCAACTTTCTATCTTGATTTTTGACCCCCAAATTGTAAAAAATAGCTCCAACATGCATAGGGCATGGTGACGTCATAAGCATTTTCGTGAATTAGAGGCACTTCTGAACATCGCATGTGAAAACAAATGGCACCACTAGATTCCTGGGACAAAGCTCGTCTAGAAAAGTGCATTTTTATGTCAAAAATAAAAAGTTGAAAAATTGACCTTTTTTCTTAGCCCTCGTTTAGTTATGTATAGTATAAACGATTTTTTATGCTTTCAATGCACACTTATCACCAGCACAGTGACTTGGGGTCACATATAACCATTACCATCGGATTCGGCGTGAAAAATAAGCCATAAAACATGTGTCGCACGCCCATGTATCAGAAAGTGAAAACCGTGACCTTTCGTGACCTGACCTGACCTTGACCTGTACCTAGTATGACCCCTATACGCACATGGTACCTTCACTAGGCCTTTGAGGTCATTTTTGGTGAGTTTCGAGCAGCAGCTATCGATTCCGCTGTCCGTAAGCCGATTCATGCAAAACCCCTGAATTTGACCTTTGACCTGACCTTGACCCGAAAGTTGACCTCAATCTTAAAATCTTAAGAGTGCTTTGGGAAGGTCTCGTAGAGACCTTTCGAACGCCGCCTCGCGGGGCTCGATACGACCATTGGTTCTCGAGATAACAGGGGGGGGGGGGGTCGGATCCGACCCCACCCCCCAGGCTGTCGTGGGTACGGAAATAGCCCAGGCGGTGCCGGGTTAAACGGCGACAGCATCATACGGCCCGTTACCGGCCTCTGAGGGCCTTTTGTCGGTCTCTGAGAGGTCCTACTGGGTTATTAAGCATTCGCATTTCGCACCAACAACTCCAAGGGCCCCACACACAGCCATCTGTGAATGGTGTGGGCTTAGCGCCGCACCAGTGTCTGAAGAACCACAACGGCGTCCATGTGAGGGCCTCACACCAACACCTTAGAGGGCCCACACCGGCTCCTTTGTGGTTCCTGCACCAGTGCCTCTGAGGGCCCCACACCGCGGACTCAGGGGAACCCACACCGATACCTTTGATGGTCCCACGCCAGTACCTATTAAGGTTCCACAGCGGCGGCCCTGGGTCGGCTCTATACACCAGTCGTTCTGAGGGCGCCACCGGCCCCACCAATTTTCGTCGATTTCTGGCGCTGCCCGGGTATTTGTCCCAAAAGCCTCCTCCTCCTGGATCTGCTTATGGGGGTCAGGTGTCCTACCATTTTTTTTTTAGAAAAAAAAATCGTGTCAGGGCTATGACGAAAAATATGTGGCCTAAATCCGATGATAAAACAGGATTTGGGGGTACCCTAGGTTTGGCTCCGTGACCTGGTATGCTCCCCCCCCCCGCGCTGAAACCCTGGATCCGCCAGTGACAATACAAATACCTGATAATACCTAAAATAGATTTGAAATGTCATTATTTCCCTTGAGCTCTGTATTGCTGTTGCGCTCTGCTTATTGTGTCGTTGCATTGGTGGAGGTGGTGACGGTGCCGCCGGGCCGCTGGCAGGCAGGTGGAGGAGGCGCGCACTCAGCTGGGCCGGCTGCGCCATCTGATGGCGGCCGTGGAGCAGGCGCACGCATCTGGCCAGCGTCTCTCTGAGGCGGTGCCGCACCAGCTGACCGAGCTGCTGGCCAGCGCCCAGTCGGCTGACGGCACGGACGGCGCACCGGACGACGGCCACAGGTCGGTTGGGTCACCGGCCATATCAGCAGCTCAGCCTCGGTGAGGCGTGGTCAACCCGAGCCCCGCTGGGAGACGAGGCAGGGGCAGAATCTGCCCCCGGTTTTTGCCGATAGCTTCTAACTTCTAAGCTTGTTAAGTTAGCAACGTCAAGCCATCAGTACCTTTTCAAACATCAATTTGACATGCTCCCTGAAAAACGTCAGCGAAATCCGTGGGGTTATTCTTTTAACTGGCAATCTAGCGGTACTGGGCCCAATCTTACCAATTCCGTAAATAGGATTTGGCAGCACTGGCCGGAGTTAACGGCACTGATATCAAAGATATCCTTTTTATCTACATCCAGCTAATCTTGTCCAATGATTTTGATAGTGTGAATGATTATGAACGTTGACCGAACGAATGAATAAATGAATGTTGAATACCTAGTTCTGAATGTTACCAAATGCCGTGAATGCGCATTCACGGCATTTGATAAGATTGGGCCCTGGTGCCTGCTGCCATTGCCGCGGCCTCGGTAACGGCGCCTGTCCCTATCGAGCAGCCTGTGACCCAGTGTATGTACTCTGGTTGAGTTGACTGTTCCGATTAGGATGTGAAAGAACTGTACACTGTACAGTTCTTTCACATGTACAGTGTGTCTGAAAAGTCCTGGTGCTTCTTTTGGACGCCGTCTAACGCGCGCTCTGATAGGTGGGCAATCAGCCAGTTACCGCAGGCATGACTCCTCGTGCTCGATTATTTTATGACTTAATCGCTGGCTGCGTGCGCCCAGCGGCCAGGTGCGACTTGAACAAGGCACGAGTTCAAGCACGATATGGCGTTTCTCGGCGAACGGTTCAGCGGGTAAAGGTCAGGGGTAGCCAGTAACAGTTGGTAGCATTAGGCCAAATGGGCGCTCAAAAACTACTACCCCATAGTGTTCCCATGTTAAATCGACCTTTTTCAAGCGAGCCTCACACGTAAGCCAAAAGAGAAAGTGCTAAGGTTTTTTTTTATAAATTTAGTTCGAATGTTTGAATGGACGGATTGACAGAGGCGAGACCCACGTTAAGCAGAGGTTGTTGCGTAGACCCCGACTCCTACCGCCCGATCGCGCAATTTCGGGTGACGGGAGAATTTAGATGCCAAAGTTTAACATGCTCCTCAAAGCCGGACACGGCCCGTCCCACTCAACTGACTTCAACTGGCTGTGGTGTGGATGCTCCCACCAACCGCAGACCATCCCCGTCAGGAGTCTCAAATATCGAGCGCCGGAGCGACTCGAACCCGGGCTATCACTACCGGGAGTCCGGTGCTCTACCAACTGAGCTACGGGACAGGGAAAGATAGCCTCAAGCTTTCCCTACAACCTTTTTATCTAGCGTTTTTCGATGCGGAGGCCATAACAGGTCCAAAGAAGTATTGGGCGCTGCCCGATGTACCAAAAGCCCTGCGCATGCGCACATTGCCTCAATCCTGTACTGACGTAAATTAGAGATACTGCTCACGGACTCAATCGGTCAATCAGCGTCCCGGCTCACATTAATAGATGTCGCTAGCATCACGTGAATCCTGCTTGCGAACACGTTTTAAGAATGGAACAGCTGCGCTGCGCCATTTCTGCCTTCAATTTATTCCTTCCAACTTAGTATCAACTATGCGCTTTTCAATTAACTATAGACTAAGTTTTAAGCTATGGTTAGCATGTTTTTTTCTGGTACATATAATTTAAAAATAACTGCTTTATGAATTTATATTTACTCGTCAATTCAGAATAGAATTGCCGCATGAATTTAGATTTACTCGTCAAAAAAGAATATTCTATTTTTTCCATAGTCAGAGAATATATCACCTACCCTGTAACTTGTCCAGGTAAAATGGGCGCTTTCCGCGTCGTTGGCGTACCCGTTGTTCTATATGTATATGTTGCGGGCCAAGTGCGAAGGCTAGTCCATTCGCGAATGGCCTAGTCCAAGTGCGATAACGCACTTGGACTAGGCCGTTTGCGAATGGACTAGTCCATGTGCGTTATTGCAGTTGGCCTAGGCCGTTTGCGAATGGACGGGCGTTTATGCTCCCAGTCCAAGTGCGAAGTCAGGCCAAGTGCGAAATATCCAGCAAAGTGACGTCAACTTGGCAAGTCAACTTGGCATGTGCAAAGTCCCGTGTGAAATCATGCGTGCAAACTGCAAAGTATTGGTAACTCAACCGGAAAATGTTTACACAGTCATGCTGAGGTCGCCCCTTCTTTACCTCACACCATCCTTGCGTTCACCCCTTGGAAACATTGTCTGACGATGAATTTCATGAGCCTTGCAATGTAATGGTGAAGTGAAACAAACTCAACTCAAGAACACACTGATCCAGTGCGACACTTATTTACCCGTACTCACGGAACCCATGTTTTTAAGTGGATTAGGGTTCGAATGGCTCTGTTTTATCGGCTGAGAATAAAAAAGTATCGGAAATTACGGTAAGCAGGCTGTAATTGCACTAATCCTTTATTTCACTGATCGGATCAGTGAAATAAAGGATTAGTGCGAGTACAGCCTGCTTTCCGTAATTTCCGATACTTTTTTATTCTCAGCCGATAAAACGAAGGCATTTCGAACCCTAATCCACTTAAAAACATGGGTTCCGTGAGTACGGGTCGGAATTACAACCCTAATCCTCCCGTAATCCGCTATGTCTCAAAGTGCCCATGGAAACCGGGTCAGTGTCACCCTTACTACATCCTGAAAGTTTCATATCGATTGCTCAACAGCTGTAGCTTTGGTGCAAGTGCAAACTTTTTCGGAGGTGGCGTCACTTAACCTGGCCTGGTGACCTGACCTTAGGTCATCTGGAGTCAGCATTTTCACACAATGTGCGCAGAATATGGGAGAAAAGGTATACAAAATTTGGCTTTGCTGGGCGCCGCCGTTTTCTCGTGATCTGTGAAAAACCACAGGGGGTTGAAAGCAACCCCCCCCCCCCTGCAGTGCGCGTATTGTTAAATGCAATGCAACACAACAGTTTTTCGAACACTCACCGCACCGCACTCACCACACACAAGCCGCACCGTCCCGGTACACCACACCAGAGCAGAATGAATCGAGCGCCACAAACTCGACCAAGGTCAGGTCGGGTCTTCAGCGGGGAGCCCGGAGCACGGTACTAACGGTCTCCGCACACCACGCGACTCTCCGCTGTTCGAAGGTCACGGGGATATTTGACCTCCCCAGATCCAGATCGGTGGCCGAAACCTGGCCAGCGGCAACACGTTGCTATAATTTCCGCGTTGTGCAGGGTTCAGCGGAAAGTCGCATCCCGAATGAACCAGGTGTGTGGAGACCTTAACCCAGAGTTGCGCCAGCTCGCAGATCTGCTCCGGAGAACAAACTAAACATATAGACGCAGTGGCGTCGCCACGGATTTTCGACTAGGGGATCTGGTCGGACGGTCAGTCAAAGTAATCCCCACCAAATACTGAAAACTCCTCGGATTTAGGCAATTTTATTTTGAGACTGCACCAAAATCGTTTTTAAAATATTTTATTTTATTCTTGATCGATTTTCGTGGCCAAAAGTGTGTGTGGGGGGGGGGGAGGGGGGGGGGGGGGGGCGTCGGACCGGCATATTTTCAAGAATGTGTGTGTGTGTGTGTGGGGGGGGGGGGTCCGGACCCCTCCGACCCCCCCCCCCCCCGTCGGCGACGCTCCTGCATCGACCAGCGGTCCCCCATTCATTCGGAATCGTACCCCAATCCGAGGATCCATGCTTCCGGCGGCTAAGTGCAACGCCACAAACCCGTCCGTTCGCAAACGGCCTAGGCCATTCGCGAATGGCCGGCCATTCGCAAACGGACTAGTCCGTTTGCAAACGGACCGCCATTCGCAAACGGCCTAGTCCATTCGCGAATGGACTAGTCCGTTCGCAAACGGACTAGCCTTCGCACTTGGCCCGTAACATATATACCCTGGGCATGGATGATATAATAATGGATTGGTGTCTTCGCAGTTTTTGGCAACATTGAGCTCTAGAGGTCTGCACCGGCCGGCTGCAGCCGCGGCTGGCTGCATCCCCACGGCTGTGGGCCGGGGCGGCTGCAAATATCTCCCAAGAACACGGCTACGGCTGTGGCCACGGCTGTGAGATTTCAAGCTCAATCTTGAGTACTCAAATATAAAATTTTAAATGCTTAATCTTACATTCTGATAAGCAGTCTAGCCTGTAAAAATCATGCAAAGGATGCCCAGCGACATTGAAAGTGGTGAAGCCCAGACTGGTTTTTGATTCACCTTTTTTGGATCGATTCAATCATTGATTCATTTGATTTTTGTTTGACTCAATCACCGTTTGATTCCTTCAAAAAATTTGGTGAATCGATTCCTTTTGATTCAGAGAATCAAAAAACAATAAAAGGAATGATTCACGTTTGATTCAGCCAATTTTTTTTAGGGATTCTTTTTTGATTCAATTAAAAAATAAAATATACAAAATATCAGGGATAGTATTGTATTTGTTGTGCTCTTTTTGTTGTCATGTAATGGCAGTAGTGTTAATATTTGTTGATAATGAACTATGTTCGTTCCCTTCAATTTTTTTAACCCGCGCCGTGCTGGGGGGGGGGCGTTTTTACGCCCCCCCTCAGGTTTTTCGCGAATATCTCAAAAACGGCGGCGCGCAGCGCCGCCGTTTTTGGTACACGTGTTCCTACATCATTTCCGCACATGTTGTGAAAATTTCAGACCTAGGCCGTTCAAGGTCAGGTCACCAGGTCACGTCAAGTGACCTTACCTCAGAAAAAGTTCAAAGGCTCGCTATAGTTACACCGACTGAACGATCACTTTGAAACTTTCAGCGATTGATATGAGTAACAGTATGTATAAAATGTATATCTCGGATTTTTGATATCTGTGACCTAAGGTCAGGTCAATTTTGCGACCTCTCCATTATAAGTCAATGGGAGAAAATTGAAATGCGCCTCTTTTGGACGAATATCGTTCAAAACGCTCTCAAACATCGGTTCATAGGTAAACA